ATAACTGAGGCCCTGCGTGCCCTGTTGCCGACCCAGGCAAATCCTGGCTGGCGTCGGTTCACAGAAAATCGATGAGCAGACCTGTAAGAAGATACCTCTGCTGGGAAAAAATGCACTGCATTGATCAGAAAGGAATCAAGTTCTCTCCAGAGAGAGATGGACATATGTGGGGATTGTGATGTTGCAAAGCAGGGCGGAAAAAGCACAATAGAGCCCTTAATGAAAGTTAACTTATGTAGCTGCTCAGCTATTTATTATTCTCACCTTTGTTTTGTTTGTTCTCCCTCTTTCTGCTCTTTTTTTGGCCTCTCCACACCACCGTCCCTCCCACTCCTCTTTCTCTGTCCTCAAACCTGCACCCACAGCATATCATCTAACTGGGCAGCATGTCCTTGGGTTCATTACAGTGATAAAGGCATATTGCTGTCCTTTTTTTTGTAGACTCTGTCTTTTCTCCGAAAGCCCAACACCTCCACTTCCTGTATGACTGTAATTAGTCATTTTCTCACAGAAGTGAGGTTGTATTACAGTGTTCCCACAGGATGCATTGTCTGCTTCAGTTAAGATTAATTATCTGTGTAGCTACTCCTAAACATCTTTTATTTATTCAGCTCTGTTACACAGCGAAAATAGCTTCAGTCAAGTGTAGCTGTGGTGCTGGAGGAGAGGCCTAGTTGTCCTGCAGGCACTGCAGTGCAGCCTTCTCACTGTAAATTCTACCTTCTTCACCTATTTCTGAATTCACTGGCAAGCTTGTGAGAGGTTTGTGGAACTTGTCCAGATGTCATTGGCAACACCTATAATACTGCCCAGCTACTGTTTGAAACTTCCATGACTTTTTCACTTGTTTTCTTGCTTACCGGTATAAGAAGAAGATTAAGCATAAGAAAAGCCATTAATTATATTTTACAAATATGTGGATACTGTTTTATATAGACTACAGGTGTTACTAACAACATTAATGATGGCTCTGGTCTATTCAAGAGTCACATGAAGCCATGATAGTGTGACAGTGAGCCAGCACAAATAATACAGGGAGACCTAAACTGTAGCAGTTAAACTGAATTCAACCACTATGTGCACCTGTGACATGTCAAATGTCTTCTGTGGAAACCAGGCCTCTATCTTATTTTGAAAATTTAACAGCCAGTGACTATGCAGAGACAGAATGGTCATGCAGTGATTAGTGCTGTCGCCTCATAGCAAGGAAGGTTCCAGGGATCAAGCCCTGGCTGACCTCGTGGCTCTGCATGTTCTCCAGGTGCCTGTGTGGGTTCTGTCCAGGTACTCCAGCAATCCACCACAGTCCAAAAGCATGTGGCTTAGCTTGATTTGCAACTCTAAATTGCCCGTAGGAGTCGGTGTGTGTGGCTGTCTGTCTGTAAGTTTCAGCCCTGTGATAGACTGTCAACCTGTTCAGGGTGTACCCCACCTCTCACCTAATCTCAGCTGGGATTTGCTCCAGCCGCCCGAGCCCCTCGTCACGATAAGTGGTATGGATAGCGGATGGATGACTGTGCAGATTAAGACTGTATATCTACAGAAACAAAGAACAAGCAGGCTACATTAAAGCTGTAATTGAGTAAATGTTCTTACTTTTCACTACTGTCTATCTGTGACTTTTCAGGCTCTAAGTGTCTGACAATCCATACACCACTAGAGGGGAGTGAAGCTACAAGAAATTATAAGGTGTGTTGCATTCAAGTACTCTAAATACACACAGTAGGCTATAGACTTCATATAAACATATGTAGGCTACAGTACATACAATCTGCTTAGACTTGTATGCACTTGCGTGACATTTGCTGTGCTATAGTTTTACAGAAATTTATATATATATACTGCTCAAAAAATAAAGGGAACACAACATAAGACATCCTAGATCTGAGTGAATGAAATATTCTTAGTAAATACCTTGTTCATTACATAGTTGAATGTCTTATTTTCTCTTGTGTTCCCTTTATTTTTTGAGCAGTGTATATATTCTACATTAGGCTATATTTTTCACATTTTGTTCAAGGACTAGACAAATAAATTTATGAAAATGTGTATGTATGTAAGCAAATACAGCATGTAACATTTCTGACTAAAATCCATAGACAGGCTCATTATTAAAACTCTGACATGCCGTACCACAGTCAGTGGTGTTTACCACTGTGCCATCCACCTACTGTACTGGAACATATTTGGAACTTTTACTGCCTTCTGGTATCGTTTAATGAGATTGCACAAGGATCTAAATCACACTCATAAAATGACCTATTGTGTCTTGACAGAGAACCAAACCCCGGCCTGCTGTATCATAGTCAGTAGTGTTAACCACTGAGCTATCCACCTGTTGTATAGCAACCCATTGAGAACTTTTACTGGTTTCTGCTATTGGTTAACACAGCTTAGCAAGAAAGAGAAGGTGCTTGGTTTTATGGAACGCATCTCCCTGCTAAGGGCCCACACCCTGACAGGGAAGTGAACCCCAACCTGCCATAACAAAGTCAGTAATGCTCACCACCGAGCTATCCAAATATTATATAGGTACATATTTACTGGTTTCTGCTATTGGTTTAATTGCTTAAAATAGAAACATTAAAATTCGCATGGTACCACACAAACGATCACACAGTAAGACACACAGCATCCACAAGTATTTTCTTCAGGAAATGCATTTGTCTAGTTTGTTTACAGATTTTATTCACACATTCACACAAGTCTTTCCTACACATCCTCTGTGACCATGTACATTCATTGCTATTTGTACCATTAAATTGCCATTCATTTGACCTGCAGGCAGTAATGGGTCAAATTTGTTAAGATTGGTGTAATGCTGTGTGCCACCACTAAAGGGCAGCCTTATTTTGTGCTGAGGAGAAAAAAGAAAAGTTACAAGACATGTTTTAGATTTTTAGGCAAAACTGTGGCTTATTCCTACCATTTATTTTTTAAATTAAATATAAAATCACTAATATTTAGTATGAATAAAGAGGGGTAAATGTAAGAATTTGCAGTTTTCATCTGCTTTGGCAAGTCTATCAGTGCAGCTCATCACACGTTCTCAAATGTAGTTTATATCTAAGGAATCAGAACAACCGAGCGATGTATCGGTCCCATTATCTTTAGCCAACATAGGATAGTACTGAATGTTAGGAGCAGTTTACATTTCCTGACAAACACACAAAAATACTATTTAAAAGTTGTTTTTTCTGCAAGTCGTCTTACAACAAACCATACACTTGCATCAATCTCATCCACTGCTGTTTGCATTCTCATGGCGATTTTGCATTTATTATTTTTCCTGCTCCACCGCAGGTTGATTCTCCAACTAATGAACATAGCACAAGACTGAATTGCAGAAAAATTGGCAGTAATTAAAAAGGTGTGGAAATTTTCAACTTCTACACAGTGACTTTAAGCTTTTGTCTTCCTGCTCGAAACCTTCTGAAAGATGGGATCAGATGCTCACCATAGCATATCATCATGTGTGTCACCTCCTTCCTGATGCCCTTGCCTCTGTAACTGGGCTCTGCAGAAAACAAGGGGAATATAGTGTCCAGATATAAAGAGATATACATAGGAAATGAGGAAATGATTGAGATAAACAAACCACAGCACAGGCTGACTGTAGATATTTTCTCAGCCTTTGATTTTGAATCATTTTTAAGTTAAGCACACTGGGCATTACCTGCTATCATGGCCTCCAGCTCAGCCAAGGAGGGGTCTGTTGGGTCCGTCAGGAACATGTTGACATCTCCATGCACTGCTCCTCTTTGATACTGGGATCTGCCCATCGCTACTTATTCAAGATGATGAATGTGCACTCTGGCAAAAAAAAATAAGAAAAGTCAAATTAAACAGCTTTTCTTTAAGTAAAAGTTCATCAGCAAACAGCATCCACACGCACTTCCTTGCATCTAATAAGTATACTTTAAATTAATATGTAGTCTTCCAGTCCAACCAGTGCTGACTCAAGTGATGTCACTTGAGGCTATTTAACAGGTTTTATTCAACTCCCTCAAAAGGCTTTACAGTATATGATTATTTTGGTATGTACAGTAGCATTCCTCAAGACCTGTAAACAACTTGATGTGTAAAACTCAGTGGAGTTCCCTTAAGGTCAGCTGACAGAGTCCCTATTACTGTACATTCAGACTGCCAGTCAGTGAAACACACAACAGTAATTTTAAAGAGTGATGCTTTACTTTTTTTTTAACAAACCAACATTTTACACACTCACCTGTCAGAAGTGCATTAATCACAGCTTGACACCATAAAGCTTGATTTTGTCAGTTAATTTTAAGTAACTCAAATATGTAAAATTGACTGAAAACAAAAGCTTTGCTCCTTATAACCAACTTTAGTTATTCAGATGCATACAGTACAATCACTCTGAGACAGCAGTAGCCATACAATGGCCACAGTAAGGCACAGATCAAACACAGTGGCAAATATATCTCTAGTACACTCTAAAACACATTTTCCTGTTACTTCATTTTCCTGCATTTCTCTTACACAATTTCAGATAAAAGTGTCTTACTGAAACACAATACTGAATGAAGTATAGTTCACATTTTTTGTAATATATACAGTATGTTTTTAAAAGAAAATTATTTGTTAGACTATCAAAGAGTTACCACTGTTATTTTTTGGGTGTAAGTGCAGCAGTTTAGACCTTAGAGCTGTACAACTGGTACAGGTTCTAGGGTGGTTAAGTTTCACCTAGGTCATGTGGTGGCATGGGTG